CGAAATTTATCGTCAAGTGACAGAAGTTTACAGTGAATACGCGATAAATGATGGAATGGTGAGAAAGTGGGTAAGAATGTTTAATGCAGGTCGAACAAATGTCCACGCCGAGGCTCGGAGTGGTCGGCCTTCTGTTGTCACCGATGATTTGGTAAGAAAAGTTGATGAAGCAATTCATGAGAACAGAGGCTTCACAATGATAACTCTTTCAGAGGCATTTCCACAAATTTCACATACTGTTTTCTTCGAAATTGTGTCTGACAGCTTGAATTATCGCAAACTGTGTTCCCGATGGGTTCCAAAAATGCTCACTGATGTTCACGAAACAAAGCGACTTGGTAGTGCCCTGACATTTCTCACGTGGTACAGTGATGAGGGAGAAAACTTTTTAAACCAAATTGGGACAGGTGATGAAACTTGGGTGTGTCATTTCACACCAGAATCGAAACAACAATCGATGGAGTGGAGACACACTCATTCTCCGAAAAAACAAACGTTCAAAGTGACAATGTCATCACAAAAAATCATGTGCATTGTCTTCTGGGATAGGAAAGGCATTTTGCTTACTGAATTTCTTCCCAACTGAAACTAAGGCGTGCCATTCAAAACAAACGAAGAGGAATGCTCAGTAAAGGAATTGTTGCTCCATGACAATGCTCTGCCCCATACTGCTGGTGTCACTCAATCGTTAATTTGACAGTTTCATTGGGAGCAGTTCGATCACCCGCTGTACAGCACAGACTTGGCACCGTCCGACTATCACTTGTTCCTGCACATGAAGCGCGAGCTTGGTGGCAAGTGCTTTGGATCTGACGATGACACGAAAAATGCTGTGGAGTCGTGGTTATCGAAACTGGCGGGAAGTTTCTTTGACGATGGTATACAAAAACTGGTCACTCGCTATGACAAGTGTTTGATCATTGGCGGAAACTATGTTGAAAAATAGTTTTAAGACATGTATTTTCATGTAAAAATAAAATTTGATTCGAAAAAATTGTTTTACTATTTTTTTTTTTTTTCAAAACGGTACTTAGTTTCCGAATACGCCTCGTATTTCAGTTAATGTTGCAGATTGCGTTGTTCCTTAATTTTCTAATTGGATCTGGCTTATTATTTTTTGCAGACTGTTAGACCAATTTTATAAATGTAAGCTTGAACTTTCGAATATGTCAAAAAGAATTTCCGATTTTGGAGCTACCAAAGGATCTACAAAGCGAAAGCATGTTTTGATGTCCATCAAACAAAAAGTGGAATTGCTGAAAAAATGGATAAGGCATATCCTTTGATTCTCTAATCATTCTGAAATATGTTTATCAATTTCACGGTGCTCTGTGGCCGGGGAGGGGGGACGCTGCGGCGCTCAATGAATTGGAAGTTGATCTGTCAGCACTATCCTTATCTTCAGGGCAGATGTTTTTATTTTATTTGGCTTATAATTCTGTACTAAATGTAGTATTTCGTCTCGATGTACTCTGTCTTTGATATGATTTAAATCAAATTCCTCGTCATTATAAATATCACGAATACACATCAAATAGTTTTCTGTTTGCAATTTTCTAATTTTGACTATGCGTAAGGTATGCTTTACGCTTGCGCGCATTGAAAGAAATGTTTAATAAAGTAAACAAATAAATATAAAGTTTTTTTTGTAAATTTTGATACCCTTTAGATCATAATTGCTCTTTATTTCATAAATTACGGTGTCATACTTTTAATTTTATATTTTCTGCATACGATCTTACCAGATTTAAATTGATGATCTATAATCTGGAAAAACCGATAATTCGGAATTGCTGAAGTCCCGACGGGTCCGGATTAAAGAGTTTTGACTATATTGCCGTTTTAGGTCATGAACTTTAATTTAGAATTTTTAGACATAGAACAGTGTGAAAATTTTAAATAAGTAACAGATGAAATGACAGCGTCACATGCGTTGCAATAAAATAAACATTTATATTATAAAAAGACTGCGTAGAAGCGTTCTCGTTTTTTCTGTCTGTGTTGTCTTATCTTTATCTATTTTCAGATACATTGTGTAAAAATATTTGGCAATTCTAAAATTATTATAATAAGTTAAAAAATATCAAAACTGCTAAAATTTTTGGTGACCTAATGCAGGTCCTACGAGAAACTGCTTTAGAAAGTAAAAGATCTGAGTTTAAAAATTAACATTTACAGAGAGCAAAATTTCACATTAATGCCTGAAATTTGTAGTGATGAAGCAGAGTATCATTGTACCGTATTTCACTTGGATACTAAGCTTTCGTGAAAAAGGGTCAGACTTATATGATGAAAGAAAATCAGAAAGATATTTTTTGTCTTAAAAGAAGTGTAATGGCATCAAAGCCGGGGCTACGGGTGCAGCTGTACTGAGTGGCAGTGCTAAGGGGTGAAAAATTCTAAGTATACCGGGCACCAAAATGCCAAGCGCCAGGTCCAACCTAGTGTGATATTTGTGTCAAGGCAAAAAGAAAAGTCATCAAACAAGAAATTGAAAAATGCAAGAAAATATTGCAAGCTAGAGGTTTCACTAACACAGTATGCCAATGTTGACAGAAACTTTGGAGAAGAAATGTTTGTGTTCCATTGATCCCTCATTGCTTGATGCAGCGTTATTGAAGATTTGTTGATTAAGGTGAAGATTTCTATCTGGAATAACAATATTTGATAGAATGGAAATTAACCATTTTATTTTAATCGTTGTCAAACCAGTGATTCTTTCCATGAATCCAAATGTTTCAGCATGCACAACCATTGTTGAAATAAATCATGATCTCTGCCTAGATTACCAAGGAATTATTACAAAAGATAGTTTCATATGGGGAAAAGGATTCATTAAGCATATTATTGCGAATGGTTTCAAAATGTGTAAAATTACATTAAAATGCCTAATTTGCTTAGGGATAGGGAATTAACTTTGAAGGACTCTCGCAGAAAATTGAGAGAAGTCTTATAACCAAGTAATAGTGGGAAGGTTCACCTCAACAAAAATGAAATCCTCATAAAATTCTTCCACAGATTGAAAGAACTGTACATGGATTGCAGGGTAAAAAAGGTTCTTTCAGTAGTTACTCATGTCATTCAAGGATAGAATAAAAGTAGTACCCTACAACGAAAGCAAATCTTCCAAGATCACAGACGGAATGTAAGCAGGTACTGCCTGAAATAAAATTTACTTGTGAGAAAAAAAAAAGTTTTGAGGAGAATAATTAAATAAAAGTATTTTAGATTATTTTGCATTTTAGATTAACTTCGTATTAGTGTATTCCGATCACCATTACCTATTCAAAAAGTAATATGACAGGAATAGTAATTGCCAGAAATTTAGGGTTTTTGCCAAACCTGTAGGTACTTGGAGGGTTGAACAGGAAAATTAAGTTGCCTGTTCTTCTGTAGCATTAGATACTCAGTATTTAAGAGTTAGGAACTACTCTGATATGCGCCCTCAAGTCGCCAGATATTTTTCGCGAGAAACTTTACGCTGCCATATTACTATCTAAATTTTTTGTTTACATTTCGAACTTTAAGCCTAAAATGTCTCTAAAAACACGGTTTTTGCACATGCAAAAACTACGTTTTGAACACACGATTTAAGCTAAAAATTCGAAATAGAAGCAAAAAATTTAGATAGCAAAAACGAAAAGTTTCTAACCAAAAATATTTGACAAGAATCCATGTACACAAACTTTAAAAACGACTATGTTTAAAAAAAACTTAAAAAAAAAAATCTACGAATGGAACACTGTAGGCAACGAACGAATCTACGAAACTACGCACACCTCGCTTTAATAAATTAACAATAACAACAATAAATTTCAAAGAATACCATGTACACAGAGTTCTGTTTAAAACTTTAAAAAAACATCTACGAATTGCACAATCTACACTAAAAACAAATCAAGAATATAAACTAAAATAAATTTCAGACAATTCAAAAAACAACAATAAAAACGGAAATTCATACCAAAAAACAATGAATATAACATTCTACAAAATAAAAACAATAAAATAAAATGCACTTACCATAATGAAAGCTTCTTTTAAAAGCAGAAATATCTTTCCCCCCTATTTTCTCAGATACAGAGCATGCAAAGTCCAAAATACATTCGTTAATAAAATTTCGCCAGTCACACAACATCTGTGAAGAAAACTTCCACGATTTTGCTATATCACATGCCTTCCTACGATTCAAAATTTTGAAAGTAACAATAAAAACTTCCTCCACTGTTAACTTGCTACACGAAAACCAAGATCCAAACCTTAATTTTCGCTAACACCCACATACTTTATTAGCAACAATTTTACTGCAAACCCACACAAGTCTATCAGAAACACCATTTTTCGTCCGAGTTCCCATATCAGCTCCGCATTTCGGACACGTCAAATTCCGTTTTAAAAGTCCCGACTCCCACAAAAATTCTAAAAATACACTACGATCCCCATAAATACATCCGTGAACAAAAGACTCGTTAACAACTCCATCGTACCTTTTCATACTAAATTTACTCTGCACATGATCTAAAATACGCAGCTGAAACCTTCCCACCACGTCTGTCTTTCATTGCAACACAGGCCATTTCAAAAACACAAGCGACACGAACCAACTAGCAATCTTCTTTGCTAGCAATTAAGAAACTACTCCATCAAAAGACTTTCCAACGTCGACATAGTTGCCACACAACACTCAATCGCGCCAAAAACCAGCGCAAAACACATATCGTCACATTTGGTGAAATTAGGGCGTTTATCAGAGTTGTACCAAGAGTTATTATTTCTGTTGAATTGATGTATTGGAATTAACTACATCACCTTAGATGTTGATTTTTGCAGAATACTAAAATTACACGGAATGTGGAATGTTGGTGAAATGCCATTGCATTGTATTATTTTAATTTGTCAATGACTTATGCTTTTTCCTCCAACTAATCAGTTTGAATGTAATTTTTTTACGATATGAATATAAATCTACTATTGTTAATAATTTTTTTTTCTGTCTTCAGTCCTGAAGAATTGGCCACTGCCATACTGAAAACTAAACAGAAGCCTAACAGACTTCTGGTAGAAGAAGCAATCAATGATGATAATTCAGTGGTAGATTTATCTCAAGTAAGTATTTTGTTTAGAATATTGATATGTTTGTTATAATACACTGGTGAAATAAATTAAGAGAATTTGCATATTTTATCGCATATTAATCAGTAATATATATTATTAATTGCATGAAAAGAACTGAATTGAATAAAAAAAAAAAAAAAAAAACCACTGCTTCTAGATAAAAATGCAAATCTTGTACGGCAAATACGTAAGTGTACACGTGTGTATAGGTGGAGCCAGCAGAAAAACGGGCTTTATAAGCGCGTGCAGGGTAAGCCAAATTGCGTTTGCTACCACACCTCGACAAATTTCTTGGTGTTATCTTGCAGCAATCGGTTAAATTCACATCGGAATAGTAAAAAATGAGTAACCACTAATGTTTAGATGATGGAAAGAGATGGCAAATTGTGGGGAGGCTAGAGGTAGACCAATCGGAATTCCAGATATGCAGATAGTTTAATTTAACGCCCAGCGTCGTGTGTAACAAATGGAAGCAGTTCCAGGATACTGGATCCATCAAGAGAAAGCCTGAGCAAGGTCATGCAAGAGACACAATGGCCAGAGAGACACTATTTGTCCATTTTAGCTTGGCGTAACAGATGTGCTACTGTTTCTCAGCTCAATCGGGACTTGCATGCTGCCACAGGGACCCGTGTAACAAAGGTGACTGTTTCCAAAAGACTGAATGAGAGAGGGTTGTTTGCGTCCTGCTCACGTCTATGGACAGGAGAGTCTAGTGATGGGCAACTTCGGTACTTTCTTGTACCCAGTACGAGAGTAACAGGTACAGACAAGTACCTGGTACAAAATACCCATTACTCAAGTAACCGTTATTTTGAAAAGTACCGAAGACCGATTTCAAGTACCGAGTACCCAAGTAACGATTTGGAGTACCGAAGTAACGAAATACCGGAGTAACGGTTTGCTGTACCTGAGTACGCTAGTAATGGTTTGCTGTACCGGAGTACGCTAGTAATGGTTTGCTGTACCGGAGTACCCTAGTAACGATTTGGAGTACCGAAATATGCAGCTAACGATTTTGCGCACTGAAGGAACTCTGCCACGTCACCACATGTTTGATTTTATCTGTACGGAGTAAGATTTTGAATATCAGAAAACATGTTAACTACGGAAGTGTCTGAGGAGCAGGCAATTCGTGGACACAAGGAGCGCATATCACCATTTTGCAAATACAACCAGATAATACTGTCCTCGTACCAAAACCGAAGTGAGCTGAACCCTCATCGATCCTCCAGTAACGAATACCGAGAAGAGACGCATATTTTCGTTACAAAGTAGCGAATACCGAAAAGCATCCGTTTCGGTACAGAAGTAACGTATACCAAAAAGTACCCGTTTGGGTACAGAAGTAACGCATACCGAAAAGTACCCGTTTCGGTACAGAAGTAACGAATACCGAAAAGTACCCGCTTCGGTACAGAAGTAACAAATAGCGAAAAGTACCCGTTTCGGTACAGAAGTAACGAATACCGAAAAGTACCGAATTCGGTACTGAAGTAACGGGTACTTGGACGTACCGATATTCAGTACTCGTTACAAAATACCCGGTTCGGTAGTACCGACTCATCACTAGGAGAGTCCGATTAGCATGATGCAGACGGCATAGTGATTGGAGTGTTAACGTTCTGTTCACTGACGAGTCCCGTTTTAGCCTAAACACCGATTCTCGCCGTACTTTCATATGGAGAGAGCCTCTCCAGGGATCTGCTAGCGAAATCAACAGTTATGCTGGTGGCTGGGAAGGCATCATGTTGGATGACTCCACATCTTTGATATAGGCTCTGTGACCGGTGTGAGGTATATGGTTGAGATCTTGGAGCCCAATGTTCGCCTTTTCCAGGGTGCGGTAGGTCCAGAGTTCATCTTGCAGAATGATAACGCAAGGCCGCATAGAGCTCTTCCGGTCAACGAATTTCTCGAAAGTGAGGATATTCGCCAGATGGATTGGCCAGCCAGGTCTCCAGACCTCAACCCTATAGAACATGCCTAGAACTCTCTAGGAAGGGCAATTTCAACTTGCAACCCCCCTCCGAGAACCGTCCAGCTACTGAAAGCAGCGTTGCTGAATGAGTAGGACCAATTGCCACAGGCACTGATAAACTGCTTTATTTCCAGTATGACATCACGCTGCAAGGCCTGTATGGCTGTAAGAGGGGACAACACCCCTATTAACCACATTACTTGTGCGCACCTCAGTGTCCTCTGCAGCCACTGTTTCAGACCTTCAGACTCCCATGAGTGTTACACACAAACATGTGTGTCTATTACAACTGTTTAATGTTTAATTTGTTTGTATTATATTAACCTATGTTCACACCAGATTTTATTAAAATCTCTCCAGTAGTTCTGGAGATCGTAGATCAAATATGAAAATTCTCTTAATTTATTTCACCAGTGTAGATTAGTGGCAAACTTTCACTAGCAAACTTTTAAGAAATATTTGCTTGTATAAGAATTCTTATGAATTTGTTAATATCTTTTTGACCTTGAATTTTTTTTGTGCACATTTCCATTCTAATCTCGTGAATTATCTGAATTTTGTATTTGTAATTAATTTTCATTTAATACAATGATACTTTGGTATATGTCATTAATCTGTTCCTGTATCTTGGACTTGTACCAAACTAACTTTTCCAATAAGAAAAAAAGGAGGAATAATTAATCATATCTAATAAAAAAATATATTTACGGGTACCTCTTGCCGATTTTTGGCGGTACATGGATACTGAATTTATGCCATTCTTTGACTTGCTATTTTGGCTTGTGTAGCGGTGATTTTTGACACATAAATCGCCAGTACACAAAGCCAAAATAACAAGACAAAGAATTGCACAAACTCGGTATCCATGTACACATCGACCTATTTTTCACTTAAAATCAGATAATTGCACAAACTAGGCATTACACACTCCCTTGGCTTTGTCCATGTACAAAACGAACTGTATTGACTTAAAAATTTCACAGCAGCAGCCAACCAAAAAAGGTAAACTACATTTTAAATCAAACAATGAAATAACATAAAAAAGGAAATTCATCTTTGCACTACACAAAGGAAATATGCACTTACCTTATTTATGAATTAACATGTCTTCAGCCACACAAAATACCTTATCAGCATCCAAAAACTTCGTAAAATGATCTGAACTAGAATCTGTATATTGGCGGCGCTCCATAAATTCACAAAATAAGAGAAAAAAATATCTTCCTTAGCGCCGTTCCAACGTTCGACCATAGGCATTTCCTTCCTATAAACAGGACACTTAATAATGGCTACTAAGTAAACCTTACATCAGTCAAGTAATGCTCTTTTCCTCTTTCTTTCCAAATTGTGCATAAAGTCAAATTAATCTTACTACATTCAGCCATTTTTACCATCTAAACCACAAAACAAGCAGTATACTTCCTAATCAACACACACAAGCCCTTACGAATTTCACGCAATCATGCAGGTGATTATGTCATAATAGGGTTTCCATAACATTCAACTACTCATGCTACCATAAATAAAACAACAATTTCATGATAATGCAGTACTCTTCTCTCTACTCTAATAAAAAATTTTATTGTTATAATTATAATATTGTTTAATACAAATACAATGGCTGAAATATTTTATTGTACATAAATATTTTTTTGTTCAAATCAAAAGCAATTTCTCAACATGTTTGATCAGCGTTTGGTAATCTATTTCATTTGCTGATTTAATAATGTTTTTCTTTTTCAGTCATAGGTAGGGTCTTTCTTGGCATACAGTAGGCAATAACTGCTAGATGCAGATGCTATCTTCATGCTTTAAACAAGCCATTTTTTTTTTCACCTCTATTTTCTTCATTGCTTTACTCTTCTCATTAATGTTCTTTAAGTTCACTATTATCAAACTTACAGAGAAGAAAATTTCCTGCCAAAAAAAAAAAAATATGGTTTTTTTTACTTCCTTGTACGAAGTAAAAAGGAAGTATTGTAATCGCGAAAAGCGTCAGGCAGCATATTTCAACGAAAATATCCACTTTGACCGCTTTCGAATGCAATTTAATGATGTTTTTGCACGATATCTGTACGTAAGGACAGAATAAAAGACTTTTTCTCCCCCCCCCCCCCCGGAAAAAAAAAAAAACTAAAAACTGATTTAAAATGAATTCTGAAGAGAATTTTTCGTGGCGTCTGTACGAACATATGTACGTACGTATCTCACATAACTCAAAAACGAGTAGCCTCAGAACGTTGAAATTTTGTATATAAGACTACTATAACATGTAGATGTGCACCTCGTATTTTGGATGCAATCAGCCGCACCAAACGTATGTAAATATATTTGTATATATATATATCCACTCTGTTACCCAGCTCAGTGAACTCAGTTTCTTTACTCTTATATGTTTGTAAATTGTACATTTTTTGTTTTAAAAATGATTGAATTATGTTTTTCTTATCTTCCGGTTAAAGTATTTATACTTTTCGTAATTCTGGAAGCCATATTTGTACAATTATCAACAATTTAAAAGCTGTTTAAGTGCGGTTAAGTTTTAAATAACATGGTGGACATATTTGTTTACATTTCAAACAGCAGAATTGTAGGTTTGTTGCCAATCTAAAGAGACTAAGCTTTGTAGCACAAAAATTAACGCCTTCATTTATTATTGCAATTAACATTTATTATTGCAATTCATTTATTATTGCAATATCATTTATTATTGTGAATTAAATCATGCTTAATCCTTTCTGGAATTTTTTGGAGGAAATAAGTGTTTAAGATTTACTTTGTAATTTTTAATACAGATATTTATAGTTTTTATGTATTTTTACCTTGTCGGGAAGTGAAAACTGAATTAATTGAATGAGAAATACTCAATCGTCTGTGAAAAACTGTTTCTTTTTTGTTTTGTTTGCTTAATTTCTTTTATACATAGTTCTAGCTTTATTATAGTATTTGAATAGAACATGTGGCAACGATAAGATTATTCTTTAAATGATATAAATTTTGTGCATTCTGAGTTATAATATGAACGAAACATAATACTGTTAAGTAAACCTAGCGCCAGAGTGTCGCTATGGTAAACAAAGTGAAATTTAAAGAACGCATTTATTCTATCGTGGTTTATTTGCTGTCGGCGAAGTAGGTTTAATTCAGTCTAATAAGTTTAAATGAAATGCAAGCAAAAATGTGTATAATTTAATATTCTGTACAAGGAAGTCATGTGGTGTACACATCAGATTTTATTGAATAGTAACAACAAGTATATTGATGCTTATGGGCAGTATTAGCCTTTGGTCAAGAGATAGAGGAAGGTAGTATTTGCAGTTGTGACTCGTTGAATTCGAGTTGTATTCCGAACAAAGATTGTATACATAAAAAAATGTTCCTGTCCGAAGATGCATATGAAGTGGGACTTATCTCAAACGAGATGTTTACCTTAAAGTTACTGCAGTTACAGATATTCAGATTTTGTTTGGGGGGGGGATTGAAGCCACACAAGAGGAAATGCTTTACCTCAAGGGTTCTCAAACTTTTCAAATTTTGTACCACATAAGTATGGAATAAAAATAAATGTACCCATTAAATGGAGTGTATATAATCAAAGAGGGAAACCTTCTAAATTTATACTATTTAATTCTATTCATAAGTGAAACTTTTACATTATAATAATAAAATATAATTAAATACTGGAGTGCTGCTATGATTCTTGGAAATCGTAACATTAGGAAATTATTCTAAGCTCTTGGAAAAGTCATTTCAACATTAAAGCAAGAGTCTAAAAGTCAAAACCTTCAAAAATATATGTGTTTTTGATTAATAAAGATTAAAGCAAAATGTTAAAAGGGTCATAATTTTACATTAATTTTGAACATTCATTTAATGTTTTTCTGTGAAAGTTGTACCATTAAAATTGTAATGTACCTCCAGTGGTACATGTACCATTGTTTGAGAACCGTTGCTTTACCGACTTAGCTTAGTTTTTCTTACTATTTCTGATTTGTATACTATGTAATAATTTTTCTGATTTGTATTACTATGTATAACTATATAATAATTTAATATTTGTTAAACCTTTTTCTCGCTCTTTTCTTCCTTAATAAAATTTCACACTTTTTATCACATTTGTCATTTTAGTATGCAGTTACAACTACCATTCCATGAATCAAAGATGAAAATGTTTTTTTTAAAATGGTTTTGCAGTTTTTAGATTGATGAATTTTCTTAAATTTTCAGAGTAAAATGAACGAGTTGCAGTTATTTCGAGGCGACACAATATTGTTGAAGGGCAAGAAACGTAGGGAAACTGTATGCATAGTTCTGTCTAATGACAGTGTCCCCAATGAGAAAATTCGCATGAACAGATGCGTTCGAAATAACCTCAGAGTTAGACTGGGCGATGTTGTAAAGTAAGTCCATTTTTGTTTTACTGTCCTTATAGCTGATGCTGTGTGTGTGTGTGCTATCTAATGTAGTTATACCTGTTCATAATGGAACCAAAAGATTTTTGGAATATTTTGCATATTTTAAGTTATTTGCAATAAATGCAGTAAAAAAGAAACAAAATTTACATAACATCAGCAGATTTTTAATACTTTTAACTTTTTTCTAGAAACTTTTAGTTTTCCAGTTATAAGCTTAATTTTTTTTAATGAATGAGGCTGCCAAAAAGTATGTCAGTTAATAACTTAGGTATATTTTTTATTTTGTCCGGATATTTTTGTCAAACATATGACTTTTATAGTAGGAATTAGTTTAATGGAACTGCATTAATACCCTCAGGATTTGTATTTCCCCTAATCTGCTTGGTGAACATGATGTGTCCTGACTAGACAGTGAGTTTGACTATAAACTATGTCTTGTGGAGTGTAGGAGAGACAACAAGATGAGAAGGGTTACTCTTTATTTTCCATCATATTACAGGCGTTCCCGCACTTCGGGATACAAAGACCAACCATTTGTGGTCTGAACTTAAAAATATGTGAAGTACTAACTAAAAATATGAGTTAACTTGGAAAACTTTACACAAATGACTAATGCTAAGATGGCCTTTTGAATTATTATGTATGTAGTACACAAACTGCAGAAAACTACAATACATTTTTACCTTTCAAGAGGACTAAAACCTCTGGCCTTAAAGGCGGACAGTAATTGATTGCAAGCTAGTGTGAAGTATAGTGGCAAGAAGGCTTACTTTCTTCCCACATAACTCTGCTCTTGGCAAAAAGCCACAACTTAAATACTTAAGCGTTAGCAAGTACAATTTGCATAAACAATTTAATGCATTTATTCTGGTTGGAAGTGGAAAATAAGAGATGATAGTAAAGTTTTAAAATAAAATAAATGTTAATAAAACTTGAGATCCTTACATTACATACTCTCTTTTTGGAATCCGAATTCTTTCGTAATCCATCATTAGGTTTTATGATTGATCAAAATTTGAGTGTTTTTTAATATTGTTGATATAATGGATTTATTGATGTCTTTTTAAAATAAATGGTCAAAAAGCAGGAAGAAATTGCCATTAATAAAATTATATAGCAAAATAAATAGAACTCTGATATCTATCCTTTTTAGCACATGAGAAATATAAATTCCTGAATATTATCCACAGATTAAATTCTAAAAATTCATCCAATTTTCTTTGAACCACAGTTTTGCAGACCTGAGAAATGATAGACATGTTCTGGCTTTTGTAACTTAAAATATGCATTTTTTAAAGCTTCTACTAAGTTGCCAAATTGGTGAGAAATTATCAACTTGACAACAAAAACTATTGCCAAAATTCACCAGAAGAATTTTTGCCCATATTTCATGTTTAATCGAGGCAGTGTTGGATTCAGAACAGAAAGATCTGATACTTATTATATTGGTTCAACCACCCTAGACATCATCAAATTTTCAGAATGTGCTAAATTCTTTGAGTACCATGCCATAACAGTTCTTCAGGCAACCATGTATATTTTTTGTTTCAGTTAACGGAGTCTCAATTTTCATATGTGTTATTTTTGTAGTATTCCAAGTTCCAACAGGTTTTTAGCAGAATCATCGAGATATTTTTTTCTAAACTCAGTTTAATATATGCATCGGAACAATTTGCCTGTAATAGAAGAAACTAATAAAATTTAGAAGAATTAGGCCTTTTGCTTTAAATTTAAAATGGAAGAATTGTTTTTAATATGTTCTTAAAGTAATCACTATATTTCCATCAAAATAAAAGACACAAAAATACGCTTTTAAGTAAGTTTATTGATTGTTTTTTGATTAAATACCTAAGTCAAACATAAAATATGCTAATTTTATAAAGCATCCATTCCTTTTTCTTTAGTAAAAAATCCCATAAGTATATCAAGGTAGTTGCATCAATATGTTAGTACTATGCAAAATATATGACTACACATTCAGTTACACATACATCCTGAAACTGTAAGTGTAATCATACTGTAAGTGCAAGAATTAAAGAAATAATTAAGTAAAATGATACAGAATATTGCTAAAAAGGTTACTATACGATCAAAAAGATTTGAGTTTTAGAAATTTTTCACAGTATCTAGCCTTGAAATTTTGATTTTGAAAATTGTATTTTATATTAAATTTTTCTCTCATAAATCATTTCAAGGTTTGTTAATGTAGATGTCTAAACTATAAAATGCATTACATTTTTTGTTGATTGTTTACAATACACAGTATTTAATCTTTTGGCTGAAACCTTTCTGCTTCTTTGGCAAACAGTACCGTTTGGTTTCTTTGATTATTTTGGTGCTTTTTAATCATACATCTCAACAACATGTGTTAAACCACCAATTTTTTCCTATATTTCCCTCATTATTTCAAATATTAAAATGTTTCTCATAGATAATGAATTATTTTAGTGTATTATAATTTTTGGCACTATTGTATTTATGCAATTCCTTGACTCAATTTGTCGATTTTTTACAGATGAAAAGGTAAAGTTACTAACTGGGTGCAAGTAAATGGCTTTCACTACTATTTTTAAATAGATTCCTAAACTATCAACATTTATTGTACGTAGGTAAACATTATGAACACATGAAAAGGAAATAAACTTTATGAACCCATGAAAAGGAAATAAACAATGCAAATTTTAATTATTAAATAAGGATTAAGTATACACTAAAAATAAGGCGTTTATATTTTTTTCCAAATCTTTCTGCATCTTTTTTGCACTGTTCTCCCTGGAAGAGCACTGCAATCTGTTTTTACTTAGACCCCCCCCCCCCCCCCCCCCCCGAAAAATTGCAGAGACTTGCCATTGGATGAACCTCATTAACAGTGGCTTTTTACTAAATACATCCTTGATGTTTCCTTTGGAAATTTTGCAGCAAAATTCTGTATTATTGCAGAAATTTTACTGCAGTTATTGTTGCAAAATTCCGCAAGCCCTAAGTTTAAGGCAGAAAATATCAGGATTGTTTGTAAAAACAGTTGAATTCTACAAAAAGAACGCATATGAAAATGCCAATAGCCTAGCGAATGGTTGAAATTCTGAAAATTTGGCGATTTCTTCTGAGGTGGTTGCAATAATATGCAAGTGCCATAATTTTAGCTAGCATCTGTAGTTCTAAAAATTTAATTTATGCTATCTTCATACAGGAGCAATAAATTAATTCTACAGTTCTTGTGTATGTTACATATTTTCATTTGAATCCTATATATATTCTTACAGTTTGTCTACATTTATAAGTATTGTGTGTTTACGGGTACAAAATGCTTTCTTGAGTTTCATTTGATATCAATTGCACATTCTAGTATGTTTAGCTTTGTGATATCTTAAGAACAATTGGAAATCTTAATTTTTTTTGACTAAATGAATTCTAGCAATCTATAATTATTATTAAAGAAATAGCATAAAAACTGGTGCTGCAAATTACCTAGAGAAATCAGGCTTCTTTTCATATGAATCTGTGCAAAGTTTAGAAACTGCATGCATGGTCAGAACTGCATTGCAAGAGCGTGTTTATGTTATTATATAGAGTTGTAAAAAAATGACAATAAAAAATGTTGGCGACTTAATCAGTGACAGAGTGTAAACCTTTTTAACAATCTCTAAATTCTGCAAAGTTAGCATTTAGTTTTAATATAAAATTAATTTTGTTATTTCATCTTTAATGAAGGGGGAAAATGTTATTTAAATGATGTTACTTTCTGTTTGACATTAGCCTCGCACCACATTCAGTGTGAAAAGCTCATTAAATCATTTAAAAAAATTGGCAGATATTTCCTGTATTGTTGTCTGTTTAGTTTTCAGATACTTCTTAGTAGCAAGACTGAAATTCAATATGTTTATTGACAGCATATATCCTAATAACCAGTTACTTAACTAAATTTTGAGTTGATGTGTTAAATGGTAATTGCAGTTCAGTAATTAACAACTAGACAAACTTTCATATTTATGTTTTTTATGATTAAAATATTTCTTTGAATGATAATATTCCTGTAGAATAATTTGTCAATATCCTAATTAAATTTTCTAAATATTTTTTAGCATACAACCCTGCCCAGATGTCAAATATGGAAAGAGAGTGCATATTTTACCCATAGATGACACTGTGGAAGGCTTAACAGGGTAAGAAGAGCTGGTTTCTTTTAATCTTTGCTTCAAAAGCTTTTTTCCTAGTTTTCATTGATATGTATTCGGAAGATAATGCATCTGTTGCATACAAGCAAGAGAAGAAAGTCACTTGTCTCTAAAACTTAACTTCCTTTGATAATATATGTTATTTATGTTTGATTTAGAATTGATATGCAAGGTATAGTTATATATTTATGATTTTTTTAATCTCGTATCTGACCCGCAAATTCTTTGTAATAAAACACAAGCAAAATTTTTTTACTGTTATTTTTCCAATCTTTAATTATCAGATTAATATTAAGTTATCAAATTGTTTAATATACACTTGTGTGTGCATAAATCGGTCCTTCAATTGTGTTGAAAATATTATTTTTGCCTCTAATGCAACTTTACTCTTTCATCCATAAAACTACAGCTGTTACATAAAGCTGAAAATAATATAGGGATAATGCCACTGATCACTCCTAGCAAAATTTTGTAAGCTATAGGTTAAAGATTTCTTATGAAAAAGAAAGGAGCAAGAGAAACGTGTCAGTAAAGAGTGGGTTTTAATTTTAAAACTCTAGAATGGCTGTGACATTATATTACATATATATTTTGACTATTCACAGTAATGCTAAAGGTGAATGTATTCAATCAAGTGAAGAAAATAAGAGCAGAAATGAGATACAGAATTCAGATGGTCCAAGGTCTGGAATTGTCAAGACGATTGATTTGGCATTTTAAGTCATCAGTTTAACCATTTTAGCGTTAAGATCGTGTTATTTCGTATTGAATGATGGCTTTGCTAAATTCTGTCAGCTCATTATGAATCCTCCAAATTCGTTACAAATGTTTTTTTCTGCATCACATTTTCCTTCTCGAATTCATTGGGATCGCAATATTCTGTATTGTAGTTTCCTTGACCTCTTATCACGCTTAATTGGTAATGGGGAAATAGCCATCATTAGAAAGAGCTGTTACAATGCGAGGGTTGTAAGTAACAACCTGCAATATCATCTGCTGACCTGAGGGCAATTTTCGTACCAAAACTGGTATATGCTGAAAACCGAAAGCTTTGTACATAAGAAAAATTTATTCGTGAAGCAGAATTTCATCTTCAAAAGAAAATCTAATGTGCGCTGAAGCCATGAATAACTTTTCAAGAAATTAGTGTTACGTAATTTACAAATAATTTCCTTTAGCATTTAATAAGTACCGGGTGATCAAAAAGTCAGTATAAATTTGAAAACTTAATAAATCACGGAATAATGTAGATAGAGAGGTAAAAATTGACACACATACTTAGAATGACATGGGGTTTTATTAGAACCAAGAAAAAAAAATACTGTTATCAGGCCTTTTTTCTTCGAGAAAATGCGTGATTCTGGTTTTGTAACTGCTACCGTGACGGGTGAGAGGTACGCCGATATGTTACAGAATCGCATCGTCCCCAGCCTGGCTGATAAACACCTGCTGGAACGTATGATTTTTATGCAGGATCGCGCTGCACCCCATATTGCTAGACGCGTGAAAGATCTCTTGCGCGCGTCGTTTGGTGATGATCGTTTGCTCAGCAGCCACTTTCGTCATGCTTGTCGTCCCAGGTCCCCAGACCTCAGTCCATGCGATTATTGGCATTGGGGTTACCTGAAGTCGCAAGTGTATCGTGATCGACCGACATCTCTAGGGATGCTGAAAGACAACATCTGACGCTAATGCCTCACCATAACTCCGGACATGCTTTACAGTGCTGTTCACAACATTTATTCCTCGACTACAGCTATTGTTGAGGAATGATGGTGAACATATTGAGCATTTCCTGTAAAGAACATCATCTTTGCTTTGTCTTAATTTGTTATGCTAATTATTGCTTTTCTGATCAGATTATTGCTTTTCTAATAAAACCCCATGTCATTCTAAGTATGTGTGTCAATTTTTAACCTCTCTATCTACATTATTCCGTGATTTATTAAGTTTTTTCAAATTTATACTGACTTTTTGATCACCCTGTACTTAAACAGATATCTTGCAATGTCTGTAGAAATACAGAAAGTTTAGATAGTTTTTATTTTAGCTGTAATCATTGATTTAAAATACTGTATTTTTTAGACTACTAGTAAAAGTGCAAGTACAGTTGCTTTAATAACATAAAAAAGCAAATCTCTTTTATATCTTGCATCATTTGGTACGGTTTATCCTACATATGTTTTCATATTTTACATAAGTTTATTATTATTCCTAGTAGTACATACTAAGCTTTCTTAATTCTTACAAATTTTGAAAAATGTAAAAAAATTCTGAAATTGCTTCATAATTTCTTACAATTTGCTAATTACTTTCCTAATTCTAAAAATGTTTTCCTGATATTTTAGAGTAACAAATAGATGTAATGTGCACTAAAATAATATGGAATTATGGTTAATTAAAGTGCATTCTGGTGTCTATTATATATTTGTTCTCAAAACTGTTCTTATCTAAAAAATTAACTATGTTAATTAAATTTAATTTTTTATTTAAAATGAAATCATAACTGTTGAAAAAATGTTTAGATGTGTAACCCTGTGTATGATCACAAAATGCCTCCTTTTCTAAGATTCTAACAAATGACATTCTTTGAACTTTTTCAAAGTCATTTGGAACACGCATGTCGTCATGTAAACATGATATTACGGAATTTGGTTATTTTCACCTATGATGTAGTGTTTGAATGCTTTATTGAATTTCTTTCTTTCTTTTTCTTTTCTTTTCTTTTTTTTTCCCCTAACTGTTATAATCTATTAGTCATTTGAAAAAGGAAACAAAAGTAATGTTATTAGCTAATGACAAATTATTTTCATTAAAGAAAATATGTGAAATAGAACTCTTGACGTTGAATGAAAATTACTCATTCATAAGAATATGCAATTAATAATACTCAGTTAAAATAAATAAATGGTAATTTTTTTTTCCATATACCGACAGTGATGTTGATTTCACAAAATTTAAAATTTTGTACTTTTCAGGCTTCATTTTTACACCTTAGTACATAAAATACAACAAAAAAATGTTTAAACTAAACAAACAAAAAAAAAAAAAAAAAAAAAAAAAAAAAAAAAAAATTACACAAGAAATTTTCTACATTTGTAGGATATTTTAAAAAATAAGGAAAAGCCTAGAAAATCATATTGCTTCAGTAAGAAAAAATTCCGTCTATTCTAGGTAAGCAATCATACTATAGGTAAATTAAGTAACAAAAGAGAAGCGCATTAGAAATATTGTTTATTGAAACACGTTATTATCATATCATAATCCCTGACTAAAGTGAACAATTACTGTTACGAGCTGGATCAATTTTGAAATGCTAATATACGTCTTCTCAAGCTTCCAAAGGGCAAACTTTAATACTTTTTAATATTGATACTTTTTCAGCTGACAGTAATAAGTTCATCTGATGATCAGACATGCGGGCAGATTAAAAAAAAAAAGCGGTACTTTTTCGTTTTGCCGGCGCAAACGATAAAGTCACCAATAATGGTACAACTAATGCCAAACGGAATATTTTCGCTGGTAACCTTTTTTATGCTTCATTTTCAAAACAAGTCGCAGCCATTTCTTATCAGATTTATTGCTTCTTTCAATGTTGGCATACAATTACATAGAATGTTTACAAAAGATAGTTAAATATCATACCTTAAGACCATTTGAGGTAATTAAGTCAATTAGGATGCAACCACCACTCACCCGAAGGCTAAAATATAGGAAAGGTAAAATTAAAGGTTAAATTCATCAATTCTAATGAGAATGCACTAGCAAAGTAAAGCACTGTGGTTTTACATAATTTCTGAATAAGCTATTTGTACGAATTGAAATAATTCTTATATTTTAAGATTTAATTTGACATTAATGTAGATAATTACTGAGAGAATTATATTTTTGTAGCGTAGTTTACGCGAGATGAGATCACTTTGGGTCACGTGATACGAACCGCCGAATTGGGATGTTGAACCATGAAAGCATAGTAAATTCTTAAATTAATGTCTTTCTACAAATTTAGTGTCTTTATTTATTGGCTTTTTACAAAATTTCAAATCATATTAATATGTTTTTGCCTTCAAAATAAAACATTCTTAGAACTAAAATTTTTTCTCCTTGGTGAGATTTGCGGCGGCGAAACGGAAAAGTACCAAAAGAGCTTAACACTTTCGGTGCATTTCAGTGAAGAAAACATTGACACTTTTCAAAAGCTTTTTTGATAAAAATACTAATGCTTTAGAAAAAATCTTCTGTTTCTCAAAACCCTGAGAGGGTTAAAGCTAGTAGATAACATGCGGAAATTATAAAATTAAAACTATTTTTTAGAAATCATAGCTCTTTAAGAAAGAGGTATTTTCTTTAAATATCTTTTTTTGAATCACCACTACATGAATTTACAGAGCATGTAAAAATTACAGAAAGCTTTAAAGATGAATGTGTTTTTTTTTAATGTAATCCTTATTTAATAACTAAAACTCTTTTATTTTAAATTGCTGAAGTCTCTTTTCATATGTTGATAATGTTTGTCAGCTTATGACAAATATGATTAGTTTGGAAATCTCTTGCGAAAACCACCAGCTTGCATCTGATTAGTAACTTTAAACTTTTCATCTGTAAAAAGTCGCAAAATAATGCCAAGGTGATAGATAGCATTAGTAATTATCTCTTATCCACCTGTTCTCTGCTCTGTGTGAGAACACTTAATGAGCCTTTTATTTTTCTTTTTTCCTGATTGAATTTTGATTTTTGTCTTTGTGTGCATAAATTTATATATTAATTAACTTTAGTGTTTTATTATGATCCAGCACTATTTTAAGGTTGCTTAATGTTTTATATATGAAGTTAAGATCTTATGAATAGTTAATAAATTTATCAATTTATTCATTTTCTTTCTCTCTCTCTCTCTCTCTCTTCTTTTTTTTTTTTTTTTACAAACACTGATGGTAAAAAAGTAACATAAACTTGTATTAATGATTGCTTTTGCTACTTGCAATTTATCAGTGAAAGTGTTTGCTATTAGACAGTATATAACGCAAGTATGCATTTTAATCTTTGTCGTTACTATTTCAGGAGTTTGTTTGACGTGTATTTGAAACCCTATTTCCTCGAAGCATATCGACCTATTCACAAAGGAGATCTTTTCTTGGTCAGAGGAGGCATGAGGGCCGTGGAATTCAAGGTTGTGGAGACTGACCCTAGCCCCTATTGCATCGTTGCTCCAGATACCATGATTCACTGTGAAGGTGATCCTATTAAAAGAGAAGTGAGTTGTTATGCTTCCTATTGAATGTACATGTTTTCAATATAGGTGATCTTCAGTTAAAATGCTGATCTTCACAAAATGTGAACTCTGCACATTCATTAAGAAAAAATAGTTAAGTTCACATATCAAAATAAGTTCACATATCAAAATGTGAACTCTGCACATTCATTAAGAAATTAAATTTTTGTTATATTTCTTTATTTTGCCTGATGAGGTATTTTACACTTCAAAAACAAAATATACTAGTTTGGGAGAAGTTCTAAGACAACAAAAATGTAAAGGCTCTTTTTTAGTTGCTTCAGACTAGCTTTCAGATTTTGTGAACAGCAATTAACAATTGCATTATTCAGAAATGGGTAGAGGTTATTTTCCCACGATTTTGAAAAATGTTGAGCATGTGAAATGAAGGAGTCTTTTCTTTCTTTCTTTCTTTCTTTCTGTTTTTTTTTTTAATTAACCTTCTGAATGTTGTATGTTTCCATAAATTCAACAGTTACAGTAACATAAAATTGTAGAGAAACAGATATAAGGACTTGCTCTTAAAAAAATAATCTTTCTTTATAAACAATAATTGGGTGTGCAAAAGCATTTGGATGATTAAGTTTGAGGACAGATATTAGTAAAATTATTGGTACTTCTGTACTAGCAACTATTGCACATGTTTGCTAGTGTTGGCAAAATTGAACATTGAATTTAAAATCTTGCCATATAGGCTTATATGGGTAGCTGTACCTAGAAACAGGGTTTGCACGGTCCTTAAAGAGTCCTTAAAAGTCATTAAATTTTTTGGAATCGTTTTTTGGTCCTTAAAAGTCCTTAATTTTGGCCCAAACCAGTAGAATGTCCTTAATTTTAATCATCTGAAATTTCTGTTTTTATAACTGCCATTTTGAGTGTGAGTTAGCATTTTGGAGGAATATTTTTGGCGATTCACTGACTTATATGGTTATCTTTTGAATGGGTTATAATTTGTTTCTATTTTTTAATATAAATGACGGGATACTCGAGTTTCTAAGCAAGAAGTGAAACATAAGCATTTTGAAATTAATTTTTTTGTAATAAAGAGCTCTTGAACAATTTTCGCTTTTGGGAATGTGAATTCTTTTATTAAACGGTTCTAAATTTGGCGACTTGTCAACATTTTGACGATTTTAAGACCAGTTTCTAGAGAAAATTTTTAATTCCAAAATCAATTTTTCGACAATTTTTTTAAAAACATCATAACTTTGATAAATTTCATTAAAATAATGGTAACATATTGGAATTGTATTTAAAAAATAACATCAAAATAAAACATTTTTATTTTCCACTGTCATATTGTAAAGTTTTATTTTGGCAACTTATTATACAATATTTTGAATCTGAAAAATAAACAAGGTATAATGCTATAAAGCACAATTTATGAAACAACTCTTAGCAAAAGCAAAATTAACTATGTAATTAATTAAAAATATCTTCTTTTTAATTTTTTCATAGTAAGCGTTTTTCCCATGTAATTGTCTCAGAATATTCAAAATTCTCAGAATGTGCATCAGTTTCATCTATAAAGTAATTTTATACTTTTTCCCTCCTTTTTTTTTTTTTTTTTTTCCAAAATATTTCTGGGTTTTTGCTGTTACAGAATTGTTGGGATAATTTTTCTTTAGTATTTTTGACATTGCAGCTTGCAAAATTTAGAAGGATTTGAAGGCAAGCTTTATAGACCCACGATTCTAGAAGATTTGAGAAATATGTGACAAAGTGAAAAATGTCTCCATGGTATCAATGGGTAATGGATGTATTTTACAGAATGTTTGCGATGAATTTCTTACTTTTTGGAGAACGTCTGGAAGAACAATGAAGACATGAATAATATTTGAGTATTTTACTCCTGATACTAGAATCTTTCTCTTAACATGTTTATCTTCCCTTTATTTTCTCTACTTTTCACGAGACACAAGCATGGAAAATACAAAAATGCTTCTAATCATATCACTTGGGCAGGCATTATAGGAGATTTTTTTATTAATAAAGAAATTGAAAACTTACAATTAAAAAGATCCATCTAATATGTTTTAATGCATCATACACAGAGCTATGCATCATACGCATTTTCCCATTTGATGCAATCTCTGTGGATCTTAAATTCGACTGCATAGTGCCTTTCTAAATTCTGCTTCCAATGCCTGTCTAAATTCTAAAAGTTTCGCCATTTCTAGATTTTGTTGTTTAGTGTGTCACTAAATTCTAAAAATTCTGCCACATCAGCTCTGTAACCGGCCTTTACCATATATATATTTCAAAAATCAACATAAAAAAACCAACATAAAGCTAACTATTAGTAAAACGTAAATGTCACATATCTTCTTTCAAATATGTCCAACCTATTATAAGTGTAAAATATTTAATGCTACTTGATAAACTGCATGATTTTATTCCCAAACTTATTAATAATTATGTTAATAAATTTACATTTGGTAATAATGCATGCTACCATCTTTTTCTGAAAATACGACATCCTCCAAAAATAAGCCCTATTGTGATTTTCGGAACTTTTTGTAAAATAAGACATCCCCCGAAAATAATTCCTAGTTAAAATAATGTGACAAAAAGAATTCGTTAAAAAATGCTGTTGAAACGAAATATTCCGAGAAATTGTTTACCTCTACAGTTCGTTTCAAATTAATTCTTGGATTTATCTTAACCAGTTCACCGTTTGCTCCGAGAGAGATATGTTCACAGAAAAGGCATCATCATCCGTTAGCGTCGGCAGACTCTCGTCGGGGTGAAACTTGGGCTGAACCGAAACCCCCGAGACGCATACGGCACAGCAACGATAGCTATATCACAAGACTTGAGAGATTCGAACCAATGATTCAACAGGAAATGTATTTGGAAGAAAATCAGAATATAATTGAAAATTTTATTTATAACGATGTTCCAGAAGAAGATGACGTGACTGTAATTGAATAGATTTAAATTTCTGTATTCTGTGTAAAATAAATATTAAATAAAAATATACTTTTATTTTTGCCCTCCCCCGAAAATAAGCCCTAGCGTGTATTTTGGACCATAAAAGAAAGTGTCTTATTTTCAGAAAAAGACGGTACTTATGGATCTATTTTATTTTTAGGATGGTATTAGAAAAGTGAAATTCAGGCATAGAATAATATTTTTAATTGAATTTAATCAGTTTCCATATACTTATAGGTCCTTAATTTTTTCCATTAATGGTCCTTAAAAGTACTTAATTTCCGTGTGCAGAAATGAGTACAAACCCTGTAGAAACCTGAGTACTTTTTCTTTATCTACAGTCCTAATTTCAGATTAGTAGCATTGTTTTATTTTGGGTGCATTATTTGAGTATAGCATGAAACAGGAACTAATTCATGCATGCTTGTATCACATATGCATATTTACGTACTTTATATACCTTCATTTTGTTGATTACTATCCACTGGCTGAAACGTTACAAATATTGACTCTACAAATTTTTGATTTTTTATATAATATTTCTTGTTTTTCATTATTTATAGACAGGATAGTGTCTGTGAGTTGTAAAGATAGCCATCCAATTATTTTCTGCCAATTCACGAAGTCTGAGAGCTGGAGACTTTCCATAGGAATGTGGATAATCTGAAAGAACTCCAAATTGTTTTATGAATGCTAAGCTGTACTACTAAACTGTTAATGTGTATTAAGCATAACTTTTTTTTGTTACCTATATCTAGATATTTCTTTAATTGTTTTAAAAAAATTTTTTTTTTGTTAAATGTTCAATGAGATCTAAGTTAGATTATTTATTCTAGGAAGAAGAGGAAACACTGAATGCAGTTGGCTATGACGATGTTGGTGGATGCCGTAAGCAGTTGGCCCAAATCAAAGAAATGGTAGAATTACCGCTAAGACATCCTAGCCTATTCCGTGCTATTGGTGTTAAGGTAAGACAGACCCTGTATTGATAAAGTTTATTTTTTGTTCTTGGTTTGAAAACTTTTTCTGGTATTTCGATATATTTTTCTGATATTTCTGACTTTCCTGCAGTTAAAAAATTCATATTTATTTTCCTATCTAGTGAAGATATAAATCATGTTTGTAAATTTGAAGAATTTAAAACGAGATTAAAATTGATACGTGAACCTAATATGTATTTAGTACTAAGTGGCTGAATTACTCCAGTTATAACATCCTAATCTACTTTGAATGTATCAGTGACCAAGCAGCCAAGATAATTCTTGAATTTACAAAATTTTAATAAATATATTGTAAAACCCTTGTTATCTCAACTCTGCTGAACTCTGAAAAGATTCAGAGAAATAATAATTAAACACAAAGCTTAAAAGCCAGTTGTCTTTCAAGTTTGTTGTAAATTAGTTTTTCTTCGGCTCTTTATTTAATATATCTGAAAATGTAAATAAAGTCTTAATTCACTATATGTAATGACCTATGACATATTTTTCTATAAGATAAACTTCAGGTATCTTTCATTTGTGGTTTAAACCAAATAAATTGTGCTGAAATATACCCTACAAATGAAAACCATCCAAAATGGAAGCGTTAGAGATTTCAGTAGGCTATAATAAAGCATTTTTGTAGTACATTTTAAGTAAAATTCTGTGCATAACTTTGCCTTTGAATTGATACTTTCGAAAGTGAAAATATATGGCATGCTATGAGGAATTTGTATACTATTTATTGTTTTGTGCTTTCCATAAATTCTGTATTTCTATGAAACCTTCCTACTTAATCAAAAACAAAGTACAACATTAAGAATCTTTTGCAGTACTTGTTTTGATAGTTTTTGAACTACCTTCTTCAGCTGTTAAGTGCAAATGAATTTGCCATTTGCAGTTAGCAGCATGGATCTTGTAAGAGATAGACTAACTCAGTGGGTGGAGCGTGCGTCACCCACATGTCCGCAAGAAAGAGTAGGGACGATCTGGCTTACTTTAATACGGAAACCTATGGCGTTTGTATCATCATATAACTGTTTTTAATTATTAAATATGATACGTTGTATAAGTGATGAGATTATGAAAGTCACAGTTTTTGAAAATAAGATTTAATATATATCATTGAAGCACTTTTTATTGCATTTTGCGCATTTTTTTCACGCGTAATTCTTGTACCAACATCTTTACTCTGGTAGAACGGTAAAAATTCTAAATGTAAAACTTACGAACTTATTTCTGTGTACAAATAAAGTAAAATTAAATAATATTGATAGCACATAATGCTTTAAAACAAATAAGGTAAAATTAAACAAGAACTCATAGTTTTATTTTATGAGTATTTTCAGGCAGTAGTTTTTTAAATTATTATAAGATATCAAGACAATCCTTTATTTGATTATATGATCATTAATTATTAACATTACAAGATGATTATTTATTTTATTAGTTCATAAAATTTGGAGCATAAACTTTTCTGAGTGTAATGAGGAAAAAAAGAAAAGATAAACTTTGGAAACACTCAGATTTGATTTTATATTACGCCCAAAGCAGCGTTTTTTTATGACATTTTCTGTGTTACCTTTATTTATTAAATATCATGTTCTTTGCAAGTAAACCCCATAAAATTCAATTCAAGAGCAATATCTCAAAATATTTGAAAATGGCATATCTTTAGAATTTCTGTGCTGGAGATAAAAATGTTATTTTCTGTATAGGGTTGCCATTGCTCTCTTTGAACTAGTTGAGTTTGTTAATCAAAACTTCGTTAAAGTTACAAAATATGAAGTGGATTAAAAGAAATTCGAAATTAGGTCGTTCAGGTGCCCATGTTCGAGTGGAGGATTACGTTATTAAAAATTTGATGGCTCTAAATTCCGTCGTTTTTTCACAATGCGAGAACACATACGTGCATTCATGCAGATTCTTCATTATTTAATTTCTTTAAATATAATACAGGGCAATAATATTTGGTGGCAACAGTTTGCAAAGTGAAACAGACATTTATAGTGAAACAAAGCAAAATGCAGTTTCGAAACTAACAGCTTTCCTGAGCTGCCGCCCTTTTGAGCTTATTAAATATATTCACAATAAATACGAAAACTTGTGCAAAACTAGAAATAAAAAATAATCACTATAAAATATTAGCACAATTAATTATTACAGTTAAATACAATTTTTAACATTAGAATAAATGCATAAAAATTATCGAAGTGTTAAGTGTTTATCACTATGATGTATTATGAAATATTATTGAAATAAAACTCCTTTGTAGAATATTATGCTATAATATTCACCTATAATTTAAAAAAAGCAGTATAATTAAGAATTTAAAATAAAAACTTTCAAAAATTCATTCACGCAGGCTAGGCCCAGTATAATAGCGGTGCATGGAATGGAATTTCAAAAATCATCTTATGGATTTTAGTATTTTTTCTTATTTACACCAATCAAAAGCATAAAAATTGTAAGAGAAAATCATTTGTTTGAATTTTCCTATTAGTTCAGATTTAAAATATTTTTTAAAAGAAGTAGATATAAATTTCCTAACATAGAAAAAGCTTAAAAATTATCCAGACCTGAAAGCATTACAATTATTTTATGATGTATAATTTATTTTATAAGCTTTATAATTATTTAGAACATTAATTATGCTTGATAAACATGCTAAAATTTTAAAACTCAATCTCAGTTTCAAAAATTAAAATATCTAAAAATTCTAATTTGGAAAATGAGGCACACATGCCGCAATAGCCAACTATTGTTAAGTATCTGCAATTCGTCCCTACTCCTCCGGATGTGATCAAGGTGACAACCGGGAATGCGCCAGGACAAGGGAGAAAACCCATTTGGGTTGGTCTATTTCTTATAAATTATTCTTTCTGAAAAATGTTTTTAAAAAAAATTACTCTGATTCTTAATGTTGGATTTTGTTTTTGATTGTTATTCAGCGTGATATTTAAACTAAACTTCCAACTTAAACTATAATAACTGTAAATTTTCATTATGTAATTTTCTAATTTCATCTGTAAGAGACAAATTGTTAAAATGATAATTATAGTAAAAGTAAATACAGTGAATCCCTCTCTAAGATTACCACCCATGGTTTCAAGTAATTTTGGTCTTGTATAGAGGCAGTGTTCAATACTTATTTTTTATTGTATAAGTTCCCAAGAGTATTGGTCATTTTCAGAAGTGGATGCTTTAAGAAAATTTACTGTATTTAACAGTTTTCTTGCAATTGGTTGGATAATTCTTATTGTGTAATGGTAACATTGTATTGATCATTTTCAGAAGTGGATGCTTTAAGAAAATTTACTGTATTTAACAGTTTTCTTACAATTGGTTGGATAGTTCTTATTGTGTAATGGTAATACTGTATTGTATTGGGATTACGATCGGATAATTGTGATGATAAAATTATAGCTGTAGAATCTGTTAAAGAAGTTCTTACAAAAAATATTCTTTAAGTATAAAATAAAAATTTTTTAAATTTTGAAGTGTGTGATGAGTTTAATGAAATATTGTAGAAATATAATAGTAGTAAAATGACATTAGGTCAAGTTAACTGAAAAAAATTCGGGTTCTAAAGTAAATGATTTCACGAATGAATTACTTGGGTTATGTTTGTGTGATTATGGTGTCTCAGTGAAATAACATATAACAATAGGCCAACAA